ATAATAGAATAATTAAAATAGTATAAAAAGTTAATTTAGATTATTTTTTATTTAATATAAAAAAATTATAAAGATTGGTTAAAATTTGAAAGATTTTTATATTGAGATACAAATCTTTTTGCACTGATCCATATTAATAAATTCTAATAATTATTTCATATTCCATATGTAACAAGTACATGTATATACATGTAATAAAAAATTTTCTTAGTATTAATTGTAGGATCATTATTTTATATAGACATGTTTTATTTAAATTTTTAAATATAACAATAATTTGAAAGATATATTTTCTATTTTACAACATATGAAAAAATTCTTCCGTCATATATAGTTTATACATATATAAGAAAGAGCGGGTGAAAAAATACATGTAAAAAAACAGAAACAAAAAAATCTACATGAAAAATAATTCTATTTTTTTTTTAAAAAAACGCCCTCGTTATTCTTAATAATAATAATCATCATCGTTGTCGTCATCATCATCGTCATCATCTTCAAATAGCCTTATATCATCGAGAAGTCGACAGTCATGACAAAATCCAATATCGATATTTGGCCGACTACAAGTCGCACAAGTGCCGAATAATTTTTTCCGCCTATATTCAACTACTTTTAATAGACAAGAAGTAATATTAACCACAATTTTAAATTCAAATTTAAATTAATAGTTGATGATTCACCTGCAGCTTCTCAATTATCGAAACATTATGAATTTTGTGAGATAAAGTTAGCAAAAAGAAACAATTAAATTAATAACATAAACAATAAAAACAAACTACCAGTTCCGTGAATGCTCAATGCATTCGAAAGTGACCGCGAGAATTCTCGTCTTGTTTGTATTGCAGAAGCAGCTTTTATAAAAATTACAAAAACATTAATTAAAGTCGATATTTTCACAAGAACAAATCTTTGGTAAAAACAACTTATTTACCAGTTGTAGTATCATTCTTTGTCTCTGTGTTTGCTGGGTGGTACGAAAAATAAGAGGTATCATCCTTGATCTCTGTTTTGGTTGAATAGTACGAGGAAGATAGTATTGTTGACGGTAGTTGAGTCAATGAAAAATCATTCTTCATCTCTGTATTTGTTGAGCTGTACAAATGAGATGCTTTCGTTGACGGGGGCTGAATCAAGGAAAGAGAAGTAGTATCCATCTTTATCTCTGAAGAGTACGAAGAAGATATAATATCATCTTTTGTGTCTGTATTGATCGAATAGTATGATGGAACTATTGTTGACGAGGGCTGACTCAAGGAAAGAGAAGATTTCGTTATATGAATCTTTTCCTCGTAGCTGTTTGCTGGTGTGGCGAAATTCGTATGATATCCTAAACGCGAATACAATTTCAAGGTAAAAATCGTGTAAACGGTATAAATTAAGTGAATCACGGCATATTACCTTCATCTTGTTTGTTGCTGTGTTGTTCCTTTTGCATAATGGGATGTGTTATTTCTATTGGTGTTGGGGGAACGTCTATAACGAGTATTTATAGAATAATTAATATATATTTTTATATAATGATTAATATAGTACACACCTGAGACACTACGAGGTCGAAAATGACCTAATCCTTCGGACTTCTTCTCTAAATTTGAAGCACTTCTTGGTCGATAAGTGGGCGTTTGCGGTGATATTGTAGTAGGATCGGGGTCTACATCTATATTCAAACATTATTACTTTGAAGTTAAATTGGGAGACAGAAAAAGAGTGGTATACCTACCATCAACAATACACTTAAAGTCACCACCATCATGCAGAGATGTCGATTGAACAATATCGGAATCTGATTCTTCATCTGAAAAAATTATTTTACAAATGCGTAATTTCGGTTATTCTCGAACAAGATTCAAATTATTATATTCAAAATTATTACAATACCGTAATGTTCACTAAATGTCTTGTAATCATTGGAAATTCTATCATTTCGGTCATTTCGGTCATTTCGGAGAACTATTCACGAAATAGCAGCCAATTGCAGATAAAAAAAATGTGAGAATTAATGACGATAACATCCCATATATAAAGAAATCACTCACTATCTGATACTCGTTCGAGTTTTTTTCCTCCTTCTTTAATGAATGTTAAGAAATTCCCATTTTTACTGTGATCCGGATCATAATTGACACCTAAATAAAAGGCTCAAAATGAGCTTTTAAATAATAAATTAAGAAAATTTATTATATACTTGCCAGTTATCCGTGAGTTTCTTTTATTATCAGTTTCCGTTGACGCATTATCTAATGACAATAATACATTTCTTTAACGTTATGATTAAAAAACAATGATAAAAAGCAATCTAATGCAATTTAGGAAAAAACATTTACTTGATGCGCGCTCATTTATAATATCCGGATATATTGAACGAGTATTAGACGATCGACTTGATTCAAGTTCAGGACGCGAAGACTTTCGACGCTTGGCAAAGTCCAGCTTACGACTTGTATATATGCCCAGAGGATCTTCCGAGACTATATTATCTTTACTATATCCGTTAGAATACATTCGTGCATCCGATTGCAAAAATTGCGATAGATGCCGTTTCATTTTTTCAACATCTTCGCCGACATAGTCCGTTTCTGATGATGGACCATTGATTTCATGTATACGCATATTTTCTTCCCAGAAATAAAATATTCGTTTTAAATATTTTGAATCGGGTCGTTTATTCGGATCAGTATCCCAGCATTTTTGCATTATTGCTGAATAACAAGCTGGCGTACCATCAATAATGACGGGCCGAAGTCCACAGCATATAGCTAACGCTAGATTTTCATCATATTCTCTAGATTTATACGGACGCTCGCCGGTTGTCAACGACCACATTATCATGGCGAAACTATAGATATCTGCCGCTGTTGTATAAGGTTGCCCTTTTAAGATTTCCGGGGCGATAAAAGGAAGAACACCATATGTTTCTCCGGTGTCATATTTATCAGCTGGTCGACTTAGTCCCATGTCTATAAGTGACGCTTTCGTGCCATTTACGAGTACATTACCTAAATGCAAATCTTTGTGAATGTGTCCGGATTTGTGGATTGCACGAAGAGCTATGGCGATTCCATTAAGAATTTGAAGTTTATGCCACCATTGCCACTTTGAAAACTGTGTTGTTAGACAATGACCTAGGTTGCCTTCAGGTACATATTCATATACGATAACGAAATTTCCTGTCTTCGGATCCCGCGAAAAGCCGTAGCAACGTGCAAGATAAGTTCCAGCAACTTTGGCACATTTATGATAAGCTTTAAACTTTTAAAGATTCATAAACTTTTAATTTAAATGTTTTGCATTTTAAAAGTTCTCGAAAAAAAATTAATCTCTACCTCGCTTATAATTTCCAACGAAAGGTGATACGAATTGTTAAGATGTTTTAAAACAACTTTATGATCCATTAACCGTTCCAATTCTGTTTCCCGAAGCGGTGTTGGACCTTCCGTCCACATGGCCAAATAAACCGTTGAAAATCCTCCTTGTCCAATTTTTTTCTTCACAATAAAGCTTTCATATGGAATCCACTCCAGAAAACTATTGTAATCAACAGCATTCTCTTGCGTATCACGAATAAAATCATCAAGTATGTTGTTTCCGCTTTGCCAATTTCGTGGAAATTGAAAATTACGTGCTTGTAATTGAAGAGCAAATTGCGCGATTGCTCTTCGTTCACTGGTTTTTTTCAGTTGAAGTAAAGTGTTGGATCTTTTTAATTTTGAGCCATGCTTATCTTCGCTTTCATTCCACAATTGGCCGAAATTAGTTGGAAAGCATTCAAGATCTGCAAAATATCAAAAATTAACAAATGAATGCTAAAAATAAAAATTTGTTACAAAAAATTTTTTACCATCTTCGCTTTCATATTCACATAAGACTTCGTCAAGCGGAGGATAGTCAAAATCTCGTGTTATGTATTGCGCATTTGGATGCTCTGAATCAGCCTTTAATTCTGAATATCTAGTTTGAAGAATAATATTATGATTTAAGACTAGAATAAAAACAAAAAACATTAACATACATACAAGCGATTATTCTGTTGTGATATATCAGCCGCATGAAATGCATCAATTTCAGTATCTTCTCCGGGAATATAAATAATTGAGGTCCTATCAGTAAATTCTCGTTTCCCTAATTTTTTTCCCCATTTTTGAAAAGTTTGAGCAATTTCTTTAGCCATTGGTCGTCTGTAAGGATCTGAATGCCAACATTGTCTAATAAGTGCCGCAAAACATTCCGGAATATTATTAGGAATACGGGGTCGAAGTTTGCGATATATCTCCATAGCCAAAGCATCATCATGTGCTCGATTTGCAAATGCTCGTTCTCCCGTCGCCAATTCCCACATAATTATTCCAAACGAATAAATATTTGCTGCGCGTGCAATCGGTTGACGTTTCAATATTTCTGGAGCAATGTAAGGTAAAACTCCTGTCAGTCTTGAACTAGGGTAGCCTCCATCAGAAAATGACAAGGTCATGTCAGCAATTACTGCCCGGCCTTCCAAATTTATTAAAATATTTCCGCCATGAAAATCTTTAAGTGCGTATGAAGTATCATGAATTTTCGCAAGTCCATTGGCAATGTCTTCAAGTATTGAAATTTTGTGTTCCCATTGCAACTGCGAATAGTATTCTCGAAGACAATGACCAAGATCGCCATCTGAGAAATATTCCATGACCATTATCAAAGCATTTGTTGAGGGATTTCTCGAAATTCCAAAACAACGTAACACACGACTTTCGAATATTCCACGAAATTGCCAATGTGCAAGAACCTTTTTAATTTTAAATATTGTTTTTTCAAATAGTCTAGACATGAACAAACGTATTAATGAATCAGTCATTGATCAAATACCTCTTCAAGAAATGAATCTAAATTTTGTTCTTCTCGTTCCGTCTCTTTAAGAATCACCTTATGATTACTCTGTACTCCCCAAGGGATAGGCTGTCGAGTAATTGGTCCTTCGTACCAAACCGCTGAATAAATATTCTTCTTCCCAATCTTGCCTATTTGCTTGATATCGCTAAACGATTCATATTTCAACCATTGCAAATAAGCTTGCTGATTATTCGCTTTTGATTGAATGTCCTTTATAAAATTATCGATAGTCGAATTCCCACTTGTCCAATTCTTTGGCAATCCCTTCTTCTCGCATGCAAAACAACACATATCGACATAGTCTTCGCGGCATTGTTCACAAGTTTTCGGAACTTTGATTGGCGGTGGTTTTGTTAATAAAGGTTGATAGCGTTCTGGATCATAATGTTGGTCATAAGCCATGGTTGGATTAAGGTTAAACGTAATCGTAGACAATTTGCGCAGGATTTGTGTCATTTTCTCGTGTAACCTTTAAAAATGGGGTTCAAACATTTGAATATGTTGTATGGCTATTTTCTGCATATAATGCGTGAATATTGCATAACGATAATAGAAAATTTTGTTCCGTTGTGGTTGTTTGTATATCCATCCTTTTTTGATACGTATCAAGCCAAATCTGTTGCGTGTTGCATACGATAATTGTTTCACTGAAACGCCAAACTTACCGTAAATCGCGGTGTAAGTACCTCCCTTGTAATAAATCCAAGAAATTTAACTTCAATTTAACCTCAAGTCTAGCAAGTTATTAACTAAGTTTTTAAGAAATTACACTGTGAATTTAAATTTAATTTACTTGTAAAACAAATATTTTATTCTATTAGAAAAAAGTCGTATTAAATTGAAGCTTAAAATTTCTTAGATTTATTACGGGGGGTACTATACGGTACCTGGATTTGTCAACAAGATTAATCAAATCTGGATTGACCATTATGAGAATTGACATTACATTGGTTATAACGAAGCACTAATTAAATCTGGGATAAACTGAAGGTAGTTTCAGAATAATCCGAATTTTTTTACTATATACATTTAACAGCCCGAACCTCCTTCGTTATTGGGATTTTTAATATCAACTATGCATCACCTGATTTCATTAGCATTTCCGTAGATTAAAGCTTTAAAACATTCATCTCAAAAGTATGTTTTTCCTTATTTTATTGTTCCTAACCGGTTAATGCTTAACGGTTGAAGATTTCTCGATTTCCAAATACATGTGCATGTATAAATATGGATTCAAACTCAATGATTGGATGACCAACTTGCATATCGATATGAGGAACAGAGCTATAATGATAAATTTCGCTCGAGAAAAACTAAAGGAGACGCTTTCTGAAGCTCAAAAAATGAGGAAAGTTAAGAACAAACTTTTAAAACGAGTTTTGATTACGTAAACATGATAATAAAAAAGGTAGATCCCAAAATATACTTGCTATTATTTAAAAAATTCGGGTTTGAAATTTATTTAAAATTTATATATCGATACCGATATACTTTTTGCACCCGATTTTTGAAAACGGGGTTAGCATATTTTCGGGGATTTACGGTATAGAATTAGATTTGATCGTTCTTTAATCTAGAATTACGTTAAAAGTTTCGATCTTCAGAGAAGTTGATTCGCTTTCAAACATCCGTCATATAGCAAATGTACTAATACTTTAAACCAAAAACAATCTCATGTAGGCTGCAGTATTTGCGTCTACGCCTATGGGTTAAATATTGTGGCAAATTATACATACAGATTTAATTGTAGGTTTCAATATCGACATTTGGAGAATAACTTTTTGATCATAAATATTTACAAGTAAAAAACCAATGTCGAAATCAATATCAATACAGCACAAATTATCAGAGAAAATATTAATAACCTTTTCTTTATAAAGGTTTCGTTTTGAATCTTGGGATTTTGACGATTTATCCTTTTTTACCGCCATCTGGTTATATAGTTCATGGTTGAAGATTTCACCCAGGAAAATTTTTTGGGGATTTATTATTCGATCAAGATGAATGATGATGTAGATTTAAAATAACGATAATGATAATGATAAGCTAATGTAAAATTTCTAATCAGTGTTGATTTGATGATAATGTGCGTATCTTCTTGCAAAAATTATTATACAAAAATACAGGATGTAAAGGAGGAGGAGGTATCTAAAATTATATTATTTTTTATTAAGGAATAAGAAAAGAAAAAATAGTATTAATTATTAAAAATATTTGAGATAAGAGATTGTGTTTATTCGTTTTATATAGGATAACTGAAATGAATTATTGTTTTTGAGAGTCGAAAGAAAAAAATTTGTATGTGTATGCAATGTTTTTTTATTTTAAGAAAAAATCTCATGAATAAAATGCAAAAAATGAATAGTGAAATAAATTGCAGGTATATCGATATTGTTTGTGATTGCGAGAAATATCATATGAAGTGTAAACTAGATATAAAATGGTCTGTGAATAAAACTCACCCGACCATATTACAGAGTCCAGAATCAGATGTTGGTGCATTATCAGATGTAGCAGTTTTTACAGCTTTTTGTTGAGACACTAATTTTTCTTGGGGAGAGGCGGCGGATGATGACGGCGATAATGAAACTGGCTCCTTTTGTGAAAGTGGATTTGAATTTAAATTAGAGGATTTATTTTGTTTAACTGGATCCGACGACGCTACTTTATTGATGCTACATGTATTAGTATCGGTATTGTTTAAATCAATGGAATTATTTGTGGCTGTTTCATCACATCTTTCAAACCACCTTTTCAATACACGGTCCAATACTTTTAGACTAATTGGTTTCGTTAAAAATCCATCAACTCCACTTTCAAATGCCAGATCCTTGTCTTCTTCACTGGCCAATCCAGTTAGTGCGAATATTAGTGCACGATTTTGCGATGACGTGAAAAGTGGTTGAGATTTTGTTTCGAAGTTGACAGTTTTAGCTGATTGAGGATCATGCAATGATGATGTTGACGTTTCTAAATTCAAGTCATTTGTTGAGATATCAGACGATGCCAGATCTCTATTTGCAGCCGTGTTTAATAATGGTGATAATAGAGAAACTAATGGGGATGTTGATAAACTATTCGGCTGATTTTTTCTGAAAACATCAGTGTTACCATCACCGGAAGAATGTGATTGATGTTTTTCAGCATATTCTTTTTCTAATTTACGGATTTCAGCAGTTGCTTTATTGCCATCCATTACTGGCATTTGAATATCTATGTTTGCATTATAGAATAATTTAACTTTGATAAATAAAACTACAACAATCATCAATATCGAACTATTACTAACCCATTAATACTACATCGAATCTACGCCTCTCACCAGTCCTTTTATCAAATTCAAGTTTCTCTTGCTCTTCATCATACTCCAAGCAACGTCGAAACTTATTGACTCCGATAGCGCCATTCTCAGCCTCTTCGTATCCAATGCCACGTTTTTTCAAGTAAGTGACTAAAATCATTCGATTAACTGCATTGTCCTCTACCACCAATACTCGAGGCCCTTTTGGACCCACGATTGTAGGAGCAATCATCAGAGACTGTTGATGGATTTCTGGTACCGGTGTGGCTGGCAATGAATAAGATCGATCGAATGAAGCAGTAAATGCTGCGTTGGTGAGTTTTTCCGAATTGAATGAAGATGCAAGTTGTGCATCTGCAATTGTGGTGGTGGTAGTGGTGGTGGTGAATGGAAAGGACGTCAATGAAGACGATACGGTTGCATCTGCAGTAAAAGTTGCTGGTGAGGGAAGAGGAATTGAAAGAAATGGGTAGGTGGTGTTTCGTGATACATGTACTTGTGATAGTTGATTTGGAGAGGACGATGATGATTCAACTCTAAAATCGGACACAGGTTCCGTAGTCGTTAAATTATCCGTATTATCTAGGATATTTCTGAAGAAAGGATTTGTTTCATTTGGTGATGTTATTAATGGAGATGGCATGAATATTAAATTTTCATCTGAATTCTCGTCTGAATGTTCATAAGAACTACTTGAACTTGATGACGAAGACGATGAAAGAGAGAAATCATTATTCGAGCTCGAAATATGATTAGTATTAAGGTGATGATCGTGAGGAGGATGATTAGGTGTCATTACAACCACTTTAGGAAGAGATTTTGCCGATATTTGGATACCGTGGCTGTGATTAGGAGTCAGCTGAGGAGAATTACCTTGTTGCGTATCTTCCGCACATAGAAATTGATTCGGGGAATTAATTTCTGAAACTTTTAATTTATTATTATCAATATTTTTATTAGGCTTTGATGATATATTGATCTTATTCTTAAAACATGCCAAAATCGTTCGTGTCATTTTTCGCGGTCCAATCGGCACAGACAACACAACTATTTTACGTGTTCTCGGTTTCAATACTGATGTGATTCCCGAAGTATTGTTAACGTTATTAATGTTCTGTTGTTGATGTTGATTTTGAAGGTGATGGTGATAATTACTAAAGTTCACTTGATGCTGCAAGGATTCAACAAAGTCGGCTGCTTTTGCGTACTTTGCTATCGATGTGACTAGGATTATCGGAGAATGATCCCACTCTTTATTTTGTTGTTGATGAACATCTTTTGTAACAGTTGCCGAAGCTGCAATATTCAATAGTGGGGAAACTAAATTCGATAATGAGCTTCTCCTATTCTCTAGCTGCTGTTGTTTATGATGATCCAAGAACCAAACAGTTCTCAAGGCATCCAAATCATCGTTAATCACTAACAGATCACCACGCATTCGATCCGCTTGCTCCTCAAATGCAATTCGCTTCATTCCATGCCAGGTTCGAAAATACTTTTCGACGACTTCACGTAATTTCCCATGAACTCCATATATGCATAATTGCATTTTGGCGAACTCTTGAAGTATTCTCTCTTTTTCTTCGTCTGATATTTTTGATTTATTGTCATCATTATCATTATTACTGTCATCATCGTTATCACTTGGTGGTAGATCGAAATCCAACCAAATACGAACACGAGTTCCTGTACCCAATGCGGATTCGACATCTAATCTCCCGTCCATTTTCTCAACTAGCAATTTCACAATCGAGAGTCCTAGGCCAGTGCCAGCTTGCAATGAATCTTCTTGCGAAAACGGTTGGAATAAATGTGTGGTGAGAAAATCTGGTGATATTCCTTTCCCCGTATCGGTTATTGTAAATAAGACCGATATTCGTTTTGGATCTGATGAGGTATTAAAATTATTAGTGGATGTTGGGACTGTGGTTAAAGAGATGTGCACATATCCCTTTTTTGTGAATTTCAATGAATTTCTAAAGAAATAAGCAAATATAAGTCTGTGAATTCTCATGGTAACAGCATCAACATAGATTTGATTAAAACTTACCCAATAATCTTAAAAAAGAAAAAGAAAAATTTATTAATATTTAAGAATGAATAATTTTTTTCGATAATACACAATCACAATCTGAATCAAATACTTACATTCATCAGAATTTGCCTAACGCTTCCATCATCAGCCATAACACACCAGCCTTCAGATTTTGGTTCAATATCAAGCATCAATTCAACAGTTTGTTGTTCCTCTGCATGATCATTTTTATCGTCAACATTATTTGATGTATATTGATACGGATGCAAAAGATCACAAATACGTTTTCGTAAATGTGTAGTTGTCGAATCCGTGTGGTTTTCCAATATTTCGTTCAATGAATCGGATGAGACAAGAGAGTCGAATGATTTTAATGACTTTGATGTATTTACAGTGTTGGATGATGCTCCATAGACAGCTGACAGCATTTGTTGCCCAATTGAACATGATTCGGATACTTCTTCAATTATAGCAACCAGATCGACTTTTTGCAGTATACGGTGATAAGATTTGTTTCTTGAACGAATCCCATTGTCTGATGATGTAGTCTTCGAATTGTTATCATGATTCTGAGTGCCAACACTATTTACACCATCATCAGCAGATTTTATATTCGATGACGAAGTCGTAGATTCATCAGAGGATGCAATAGTCGATAAACTACTTGTGTGGTGATGTCGTCCTCCATGATTCTTATTATTATGCATTGAATGATGATGATGATGACCATTTAATCCGTTTTGTTCACTTTCCAATTTTGCGAAATCCAATACTGAATTCAGGATGCTAATCAAACTTGTCCCACACCCTTGAATAGTTTTCAATAATTCTTTTTGGGCATCAGTCATCTTTGAATCTTCCAATAATTCACAACTAGCCAATATTCCATGTAGCGGAGTTCTCAATTCATGAGACATTGATGAAATGAAAACTCCTTTAGCTCGATCAGCAACAATCACTCGACGTTTCAGCACTTCACTAACAACATTTACTCCAAAATTTCCAATATACACGCGTTCTTCGTCTTCGAACTGTCGAGAAGCATCGGTGGTCAATGCAATTAGAAATCCGAAAGCATTCTGAGAATTATCGTAAATCGGTACAACAATACCCGACTGCATTTGCGGTGGGAAAAGAGCAGGCAATGGAGGCAACGCATTTTGAAAGATGTATCCTTGTTCATGAGTTTCCATCAAGTGCGTCAAAAATGACGTCGTCGTCGGAGTAGACAGATAATCAGTTGACAATTCAATTCCGACGGATGCCAAAAATCTAAGATGCTTAATACCAGGTTCAGGTGGAGGACTATTTAAAAAGAATGATGAGAAATCTGAAGTCCGACCTGTCGACGAGATTGACTTTGATGAAAGTGATGGCATCTCCAATAGATAAAGAGCATCCACTTCCAATGTATCACGCATAAGCTTCACTGCCATCTCAAAACATTTTTGCATGACTCGATCTCCAATTTCACATGATTCTTTCTCCGGATTTTTTGACCATACACTTTCTCGTTTTCGTGATATTTCACCAGTTTCTTTGTTTAGTAATTGTGATTTCATGCTTTCCAGACAGAATTTACTAAACTCTGCAATCGAGTCTTGCATTTTGTTTCTCACTCTCAATCTTAATCTATCCGCCCATAATTCCAATTCGCGCACCACAACCTTAGCATAGTCCTTGAGAACCTTACGATCGTCAGCACTAAAATTATCACGACGATTATTATCAATCAAACAGATAGTACCGAGGTTATGGCCATCTTTTGTACGTAATGGAGCCCCAGCATAAAATCGAATATATGGAGGACCGGTTACTAAGGGGTTCTTTTTGAACCGCCAATCAACCAGTGCGTCCGGGACGACAAATGGCTCGGCTGTTTCTTGAAGAATCGCGTGGCCACAAAAAGAAACTTCTCGAGTGGTGGAACTACAGCCGAGACCTTCCTCTGCTTTGAACCATTGATGTGTTGTATTTACCAAGGATATCAGGGAAATCGGAACCTTGAAGTGCTGTTTAACTAAGCGGGCAATGCGCGAAAAATTCACATCTTGCGAAGTATTCAAGATCTGAAACCGCCATCTAAAAATTAGAATAGATAATCTTCGTTAATCAAACAAAAGTCTTAATAGTAGCATTGATTGAATGAAACTCATTAGGCTTACAAAGCACGTCTCCGTTCACCTTCATTTGGAGGCAGAGGAGGTGGTAAATACTCTGGTTCAAACTCATCATCACCTTCAACCTCATCGTCATCGTCATCGTCATCATCACCATCATCGTCACCATCGCCATCGCCATCCTCCCGATGCACTTCTGATTCACTGTCTTCGTTATGGTCATATACTTCATCATGATATTCGTCGTATCCTTCATAGTTATTCTCTTCGTCAGAAATTTCAGTATGTGTTTCTAAGCTTAAAGATGCAGAAGATGAGCGCACATTTGAAGGGATGGAATCTTCGATTGCAGTTAAATGTAATTCGTGCTGGTGAGTAGAATTAACATTATTCACGACGTCAGATGAAAATGCATAATTTGTTGCTGCATCTAATCCATTACTAGGTGTCCCGGGAGTATTTGATCCCGTGCCTCTTGCGCCATCTCTTCTCCAAGCTTCGATATACTCGACATCCCAATCATCACCAAATGTAGTGATTCCTGATAGTGGACTAGTTGGTAGACTCAATTTATTGTCATTAATGGTATTAGTGCTACTATTATTATGATCTCCTCTATCTCGATCTTTCCGATCTCGACATCCCACACTGCTTGTATAACTTCTTTTGGAGCTAGATCGTCTCGGTTTTCTCGGGATTGATAATGGATCAAATTTCCCTCGGGCATAACCATACAAAAAGTCGTCCCAATCCGAAAAATTATCATCAGTTATTGAGAGACTTAGGTCTGAATATGATTGTGTCAATATTGATAGTCGACGCTCTAATGATGCAGGAGAAGAGGTAGAAGACAGAGGACGTATTGGAATCTCCGGAGTGATAACTTTTGTTGGCGAGTGACCGGGAGTATAACAAGCATATGAATGATGTAGTGACGAAGAGCATTGATGAACACCACTTTCAGACCCAGTTTTACGAATAGTTAAATGGTTAGTGCCATTGTGGCAAGAATCTCGTGAGTGAATTCCTTCACGTAATGATTTTGATCTATTTAAGGACATCGATTCTTTAACATATGATAGACTATTTGACCGCTCTTTTGGATTGTTTCTTGGATATGGTAATGACAAAGATTTTCTTGGGCCTAAATTACTATAGCTATCCTCGTTGCTCTTAGTTGATGAAGAATGACAAAGTGATGCTGAAACAGGTGATTGATCAAGATTATTATTATTGTTATTCTTAGAAAACCGTCGACGACGATGGCTAATTGGATAATTATCATCGTTATAATAACGACTGGAAGAAGTATCAATTTCTGCTGGTATATGCTTCTTTCCGGCTAATTTTGAAATTGATATTGGTGGGGGTGATACCACTGGTGATAATAATGGTGAAGAAGAATTTGAACCAACCGGTAATAGTGATGGTGACATGGGATTCAGTAAAGGTGTTGAGGTTTCTGCTGGTGAAGATAAAATTAATGGCGCTTCCACAGAAGTTTCATCACAATTATTATTATCGTTACTGGAATTGTTAGCTAATTCTCGAGATTCACCTTCGTTTTCATCTAAAGTATGCGTTTTCGTAGCATTTATTATGGGCGTCATTTTCTAAGCGTAGATACTTATTTGTGTGATTATGAGCGGGCAATTTGATTTGAATAGTTTTTATTGTTCGTCTTCTCTGGTTGAGAAGTTGTTTTCTTCGAATCGAATAAATAAATAAATAAATAATTTTTTGCAATATATAAAAGTACAAAATTGCATATACGCACGTATGTGTATGTATGTAAAGATATGTATGCGCGAATAAATTATAAAAGAAAACTCTCTTTTATGCTTTTAGAGAGGGAAAATACGATATTTTGGCTTCGATCAAAAATTTATTTAGGGTATTAAGTTAAATGTATCGGTCCAAAACTTTAGGACAAAATGCAACAAGGTGTAATACGAAATGAAAGCACATGTATGTATGCAAGGAAAAATTATTATATTTACAAGAATTCAAACGAAATATTATGAAAGTTTGAGAAAATAATAGCTTGAAATTAACGTTTTATTGAATATATCGATATGTACATGTACTGTATAAACGGAAATCTCCTTTATATACCGGTACATGGATACTGTTACTTCCCAAACACAAATACACGCATACAGACACATGCATATCCATTCAGCTCCGATCATCGGAAAAATTTTTAGGAATCTAAATTTTTTATCGGTTGTATAGATTTTTTATTTCGCATTAATTCTTTGCACTTGACATGTAAAAGATGGGATACTAGGTGATCTCCTTGCAAAAAGAAGTATCAAAAAAACTTTGAGTATTTAGGAATATAACTAGCAGAAAAGCCTCACGGCTATAGAATACAATTAACTCATTAAACCGAGAGATTATATCTCAGAAAGACGAAGCATTCTAACAAATATTTATTATACTTATTTGGAAACTATCAATCATTAAGTGGTATAGCATATATATAAATAGCGAACTACATTTACATGTACATGTATAACGCTAAATGTCCGATAGGTTCATCAAGGAAAAACTGTTCGTGCGCTGTATGTGTGTATCACAGCTAAATTTAAACTATGTATAGTCATTAAAACCAATTTTTCTCCATGACATAACGAAATACGCAGTTGCATCAAAGATATTGCTGAAAAAAACTAACATGTATCAGAGCTGGTACATAACGATAATAATAGCGAATACGTTAATTGGCAACTCGATTTGCGTAGCGGTAGTGATTTCACTTTTACATTTTAAAATCTTGCATGCGATTTTCATTTTCGATGACACAAAAAGAATGATAGAAATTCCCCTGATTGATTCTAGATTCTCGCAAAGATACTGATTAGAGAAAGATCGACGACAACAATAAAACGGTCTGAGGTCAATCTTCCATTGTGACAGGGATATTTTATGAAATACAAATGTGTGCAATCTCAATACATGTGTACATGTATGTACAATTTAAATACAATACATTATATCGATATCGTATCAACATTATAATGTGTAGTATCCCTTTTTATTTTTATAAGAACATGTCATATGAAAACCTCTATAAAGAATCTTATCTTTGAAATCAGTTCTTATTAAACATATAAAAACCTCCCTTTATACAAGGAGAACCTCTTTAGAGTGGGATAACTATTAATTTTTCGACTAATATCTCTCGATATTATAGCTAAACATATGCTTTTGAAATTAAGAGATGAAATCGTCTATTGGGTTAACGTTCTACCGTTACATGATGCTAGATTTTTACATAATACATGTTATTAATCATTAATTATTAATTGCACAGCACAACAGTTTTGTGTAAGATATAGGGATAGAATTAGAAATCGGATAAACTGCCCCTTGAGAAATCTAAACCTTATCTTAACCTCGTGGTATAATAAATTGCAAGTTTTGTTCATTTTGCGAAACAAAATTGATTTTACTAATGCCAAAACCCGATTAAAGTTAAGGTTTAAGTTTTTCCTGAGGGAAGGGAATAGATTGATGTGCGTACCTACCAGAACTCCTCCCTTGTAAAAAAATTTAAAAAGTTCAAACCTTAATTTAACCCTTAATCTAACCTCAAGGCAAGTAAACTAGTAACTAAAATTTATAAGAAATTACACTGTAAATTTAAATTTATTTATTTGCGAAACAAATAATAATTAATTAGTTCTGCTAAAAAAAGATGGATTAAATTAAGATCGAGATTAAATTTTTTACAGGGGAGTGTAATATACAAAACACAGTACACAATATAAATTCACTGTGTAACAAAATACTCATAATACAATACAATGGACAACGATAATTTAGCGTAAGAATTTTTAAAGTGCATTTGTAATGAATATAAAACAAATGTTGCAGTAATGATTTATTACTTTATATTGTGTTAAGTAACTCCAAAGGCATACATATCAATTGCATTAGCAGGGCAGTTCTATTTTATTTGGACTATAAAATGAAACATTTTAACAAGTGAAATGTAACATAAAGAGAGAATAATAGAAATTTATGTTCATTATTGCTTTATAATTCTTGTTCATATGAAACTGTATATCGATAGATCTAATTGATTTACACGTGTTATCAGTCGATGTAATCCATGAATTATATCGTATCGACTACGTATTGTCTCATCTAACTTTCAAGATGAATTTTTAAGATCGAAACCGAATGTGTAAGATTTCGATTTCTTCCTATTTTTATATTGGCGTTTCCGGTTTAGATGTTTTCAGATACATATTTTTATGATAACATTCTTAATATTATCTATAATTTGGATTTCTTTTTAATTCTATCTGTACAATTAAGTTCTCTCCAAAATGAATGAATTGATTCCAAATGCACTTGTACAGTTGACGTCATAAAGATTCGGAATTTTAAATTTGCATAACAATTATATGATTAAAAAATGAATAGAATTACATGAAAATTTGTCAAATATATGATTTTTGATATGAAGAACAAAGCTGCTTAAGACATATTGGTATAATATCTTATTAAAAATACCATTAAATTATAAAAACTACAGTAAAAACAACTATAAATTTAATTAACTTATATCTTTATTCATTATTCAATAAAAAAATATTAGAATTGTAACAAAATTTATAAATTTATTCTTTAAAATATAATGAACAACTTCAACTATAATAAAATAATAAACTTTTTTTACAATAAATTTATTGAGAAAAGATGTAATAATTTGAGCAAACTTGATTTACAGATTATAAAGAAGATATATTAGGCAAGTTTGATAATTTTTATTATTTATGTATTATATCAAAATTCTGAATCTTTATAATGCCAACTATATATAAGAGTTTAATATATTCTAATATAGCTTTATTAATGCTAAACAGTAATTATAATCTTTAATATAACTGAGCTATGTTATATGTAAAAAAATTTTACTTTCTGATATTTATTTTTTAATAAAGCTATACTTGAATTAGTATTTTATTAAAATTATAATATGTAACAAAAAAAACTGGATATTTTAATTTTCTCCATAAATATTTATTTAAATAATATAAAAATTTAGATAAATATACTTGAGAGTATGATAAACAACTTTATTTAAGACTACTTGAATACTTATCTTATTAAAATTTTTATAGTTTATATTTTTAAAATTAAAAATTTTTAATAATAAGAAAACTTAAATAAATTTGATCATTATTTTGTAAATTAAACTTGTTTACTAGATTATTAAGTATATATTTAAAATTTTATATAATTTAATAAATATTCATTAAATAACAAACAAAAAAGATTAAAAAAGTATTTTAAATCAATTTTTTCAAAAAAAATTTAATAAAATATGAAAAAAATTTTATATAAATTAAATAAATATTTATTAAATATAATCAAAAATAAAATATCTGGTTTTTTTATTATATATTGTACTATTCATTTTTAAATATTACTTATTTATAATAAGATTTTATAACATTTAAAATAAAATTTAAATAAAAAATCTTTTTTTTATACTAAGTTTATCTTATATTAGAATTTTATATTTATTCTTTAGTATTAAATAAATTAATTTATTTATTTTTATATAAACCAGTTTAATTTCTTTAATAATTTAGATAATAATTAGTCTAGTATATTTTCTTATTATTTAATTAAAATAAAAAAAAACTTATAATAATAAATTAAGTATTATAATAAACTTTATATTTATAATTAATATACTTTTTACAATTAGTATGAAAAGTAATAATAAATATATTTTTCATTTATAACTTAATAAGAAATTGCTAAAAATTTATAAAATTTGTCATTATATTCTTTAAAATAACAGAAATAAAATTTTCTAAGGATATAAAATGTGTTAATATAGTAATATTTTGTGAAATTACATGCTAAAAATGGTAAACTGAGAGACTATTCCATTATAAAAATATTTTTTATAAGCAAGTATGAAAATAATTTTATAGAAATATATTTAAAGATATATAAAATATATTTGTAATTTAAAACAAAATATTTAGTTAATATTTATTAAATAAATATTAGTAAAAAAAGCTAATTTTGATAAATTTCATAATAAAATATAATAAAATATAGTAAAATATAATAAAAATATTATATTTATTATATTTTATTATGAAAACTATCAAAATTAAGTCTTTTTTTAACTGGTATTTATTTAATAAATATTAACTAAAAATTTTTTTAAATTATAAATATATTTTTTAAATATATTTTTATAAAATTATTTTCATATTTACTTATAAAAAATATTTTTAAATAATTTTTTATAGTACTTTAACCAAAATAATTTCCAGTCTGTCATTTTTAATATGTAATTTCACAAAATATTACTATATTAATATGCTTATAATTTTAGAAAATTTTATTTTTATTATCTTAAAAAATATAATATCAAATTTTTATAAATTTTTAGTAATTTCTTATTAAATTATAGATGAAAAACATATTTATTATTACATTTTATGCTAATTGTATTTATACTTATAATTTAATATTATATATCTAATAAATAAAAAAAAATATATTATTTATTTATATTATTATTTATTATAATAATAAAATATTTAAAGTTTCAGTTTATAATAAGAAA